GTAGCAAATTCACCACCAATGGAGAAATTATAGTTGCAAAAGCGAAATCTTTTTTCGCAAATATGCCTGATACAGGCACAATTTTGAGCCCTGGGATCACACAAAAAGAGTGAACATTATTACAGTTGGTTCTGTGTACAATCAGTATTCCCATCTTGACAGCATATCCTAAGCAACATATTGTATTCATTTTGCAATACTTTCAAAAAAAAAAATTTTTTTTACCGCATTTACCTGTGTATAATTCCATGGCCTGGTAAATATTGAGTGAGCAACAGTATGTCGGAAAAGTATTGAAGATTTTGTGTCATATCGTTGTATTTTAGAATTTTCAAACTAACGCTATGCAATTTTCTGGCAGTAAAGGCAAGTAAACAACAATACAACCACGATGAATCCCACTGCCTGTGCTTTGTACACATAAGAAATTCACACGTTTTTTGCTTCTAACAGCAAATCAAGTACTGCTTTAAATAAAGCTTTTGTCCTGAAATATTTCTTGCTCATTTTCTTCTTGCTTCTCATTGAAAAATTCCATGTAACCTTAGATTCTTGCATATCCACTCTGAAATCTGATGTGCCTGTTTGCACACTTACAAAAATATTTAGGGACTTTTGTCTTCCCTCTTGATTTTAGAGTAAATACTTAAAGTGCTACTACGACGAAAATTTTTGTTTTTGTTTCCAGGTTTTTCAACATAAATCTTTTCTATATGTTCAAAATTATACAAATAGCGAAAAGCTGGAACGATACTTGCGTACGGGGGCTGGAAATTTCCCACTGAAAAGTGCATAGATACCGTCCGCCATTACAANGAAACCGAACTTATAGAATGTAGAAATCAGACTAAGTCCATTTTTGGTCAATTTTATCTATCTTTGTTTGTGAAAAAGATAAGATAGCAACAAAGCGGAATAAATTAGCTAAAAATTTTCAGAAATGGAATAAGCTTTTGCTTTGGGATGGGTGTCCAAACAATGTAGAGTAGCATACGAAGTCAATTTTATTATAAAACACACAATTTCCCTATATACTACTATTGAGGTACTGTAAGTAATTTATGAAACATATTGAAAGGAGTGTAATATGTCGTTACGTAATGTAAATATAGAGTATCGTGTACATAGTGGAAGTAATTGATAGTAAGTCATCTGCTGTAATCAAGTTTATTGTAAACTATACTTTGTTTGTGGTATGTTCTCAGTAAACTATTGTAAGCAACATATTGTAACTGAGTCCTGTAGTGTATTGTAAGTAGAGTAATGTTTTGTTAAATGCTAAAAAAAATTAAAAAATTACAAAAAAAAAAAAATTTTTGGTCGTTTTAAAAGACTCGCATGTAACTCAAAATTTGCTGATTTCTTGGAGGAAACTTTGGAGTACTGTCAAATCTCAAAGTAACAGCAAGGTAATATCTCAAAAAATAGAGAGCCGGATTATACCCATTTTTTCACCAACGCCCGTTTTACTGTAACTATGAGAAGAAAGCAGAAAAGTATGAAAACACATGCAACCATATGGGAAGTCTAAATAGTCGGAGCATTCATTACACAAATATTGAACAATGATGCCAGAAAAAAATCATGTCACAGGTGAGTGATGAAATAAATATTATGGTGATAAGCACAGCACAAATACATTGTAATTTCACTCACCAATCATCAACTCCACTTTGATAGTGTTTCAAAGGATTTTTTCCAAATAGTTGGAAACGTCCCCTTCTTCAACTTTCTTTTCATGCCTTTCATCAGAAAAGCAAGCATAAAACAATCCCTTGTGAAATGCTCGGAGCACACAGCCAATTTTCCCACTGGCTTGAAATTCTTCCGATAAATAGACACGAACCTTTTCCACTTTAGTCTAACGCTACCCGACTCAGGAGAATTATGAATAGAAATCCCCAATTCATCGTTCTTTATGTTTCCACAGTCCTGAACAACACAATGTCTACCAGGCATACTTTTGCTTTCGTCAAAAAAGCGAAGAAAGAACCCCCAAAAGCTTCCAAAAATATCTCGTCCTGAATGCAAACTTAGCCACGTTTGTGTAACTTGTTTAGCCGTATTGATGTTTCTACGTCACATCTCGCCCCTACTCCTTCAAATATTACTCCCGGTTATTAATTTTTCTGAATTGAGTAATGGCGGCAGGACATTTACGAAAATTGTAGTGCAAATAAACACACTTCCAGATCATATTTCGACTCCTAACTTGGCACGGTAAGTCACTTTTACATATATTTTCGAAATATGTAATAAAAAACGAAACCCCAAATTTGATCGTAGTAGCACTTTAATATACACCTATAATTTTTCATAAAAA